CTTGCAGACTGTTGGTGAAAATGTAGATTGGTGCAGCTATTACAGAAAACAGCATGAATGTACCTCAAAAAATTACAAATAGAACTACCATAGGTTCAGCAATTCCACTTTTGGGTATGTATCCACAGGGGGAAAAAAAATAAATATCTTGAAGAGATAGTTGCACTCCCATATTTATTGCAGCATTATTCACAATAGCAAAGATGCAGAAACAACCTAAGTGACTGTTGACAGATGAATGGATAAAAAATATGTGGGAGATACACACATGCAATGGAATGTTATTCAACCTTAAAAAAGAAGGAAATCCTGCCATTTGCAACAACTTGGATGAACCTGAAGGACATTATGCTCAGTGAAATATCCCAGACACAGAAATACAAATGCCTCATGATATCACTTATATGTAAAATCTTAAAAGGTTGAACTCGTAGAAACAGAGAGTAGAATCATGGTTGCCAGGGTTTAGGGAGGGAGTGGGGGAAAAGAGAAGATATTGATCATAGGATATAAACCTTAGTTATTAATATAAGATGAATAAATACTGGAGAATGTACAGCAGGGTGACTACAGCTAATGGTAATGTATTATATACTTGAAATTTGCTGAGTGTAGATCTCAACTGAGCTCACCACACACACACACACACACACACACACACACACACACAAAGAAAGGTAACAATGTGATGTGATGCATATGTTAAATAGCTTGATCATGGTAGTTATTTAATAATTTATACATATATTAAAACATCACATCATATATCCTAAATATATACAATTTTTATTTGTCAATCATACCTCCATAAAGCCAGAAAAAAATCCTGCAAATTGGTGGACACCACACTTGCATCCATCACTCGTGTGTGTGTGTCTGTGTGTGTGTGGTCTTTGACAAGTTACTTGAACTTTTTCTCAGACCCTCACCGGTAAAATGGGAATTAAATATTGTACCTGTGCAATGTGATTGTTACCTAAACTGATGCCAACAAAATACTAGAGCCTCTGGCACAAGGCAGCCACTCAACCATGTTAAAGAATGACAGAGGAGGGAGCGGTAGGCTCTCAACAAAACCCAGTTACCACTTGGCAGATTTTTTTTGCTTTGAAGCAATTGTTTGGTCTTCAAGCAGCCTCAGCTGGGCTCTCTCTTTGTCAGAAAGCTGCGCTAGTGAATAACAGGACTCATGCTTCTGAGCCAAATGTATTCTAAAGCCTGCTCATTCTTAAAGTGAATGAAAATGTTTATTTCGCATATGAATGGAAAAGTGTTATATGCCTTGTGTGGGAAATTCAGAAAGCACAGAAAAGTATGAAGTCACCCATAATCCTGCCAAAGTAACCAGTATTAACAGTTAACCATTAAACCATTGTTTGCCAAATTACCAATAGTTTTTCTCTAAAGTTTTTAAACAAAATTAGGACCACAATATCCTTGCATTTGTCTGTCCTCCCTTTTTTCACTTAACATTTAATTGCATGTATTTTCCCCATCTTTAAACATTCTTTATAATCACCACTTTTACTGCTGAGCAACAATCCATCTTATGCGTAGATGTTCTACTTAGCTCTTCCCTTACAGTGTCAGGCTATTTTTCAGTGTAATAAATACTAGATGAACATATTTGCACATATATCTGCAATTGTATCATTTCTCTAGAATCAATTTTTGGAGAAGGAATTGCACTCCCAAAAGGTATGAGCAATTTCAAACTGACTGGTATATATTGCCAAGTAGCTTTCCAGATAGGTTGTGCCAATTCAAATTCTACTAGAAGAGTGTTGGTCAGTACGTCTGTTTCATCCCCTCAGCCCCTACTCTCCCAGAGTTTTTTTTAAAAAATACCTAAACTAATACGCAAGGTAGGGACTGGTTGTTCTTTAAAGGTAAATTTCTCAAGTTCATTTGGAGAAATAGCTCCAGGGACTTATGTTCACCATGGTTAACTGTGGGATTAGGTCTCCTGAGAAGATAGCGGTAGAAAAATCATTCAAATATGGGAGAAAAAGATACAATTGCAACAGACGCAAAACAGGTGACTTTTCTGAGCTTTCAAAAAATTTTAAATGTGTATCTTATCGAAATATGACCTTCTCCCATGCAACAATTGGTCACAATACTGTACCCTCAGTTTTGACCTAATGCTTCAAATTCTGTGCTTTGAAACTCATTTTCACATGCATGAAGTTGGTGGTAGTGGAGAAGGTAAATTAGTTTCTCAGACAGTTTATTAAGACTTGTTATGGAAGTAGAGCTACAACAAATTGAGCTGAGGATTCAGCTTGTGTGTTTATTTTTCTACCATAATCAATAGTGTTTGGTCTGCTTAATGTTGTACACATTGTAAACTCTGAGTCTTCCTTTTGTAAGAGGAGTACCTTTTGAGAGCCATTTAATTTTAAAGGAAGTTATTTTTTTTTTTCAAAATTCAATGTGATGTTGTGAAAATATACTTCTCATGGTTATATTATAGTGCTTTCACCTGACAGAATTCCTCCCCTGTGATAACTATAACCACATGTAAGTTTGTTAGCAGAATCCATGGGGAGTGTTACCAACCAATACTGGGCCACTCCAGACCTGTGCAGGCCCTCAGAACTGAGAGGGAAACAGTAACTGAGGAAAATGAAAGGGATTTCGAACACCAGTCACTAAGCTAGAAACATGTCAAACGTGTTTTTATTCAGATATTTTTGACTGACTTTGTTAACTAAATTCTATCTCATATTGGTGGATGAAGCTGTATTTTTAGAAATAGTCCAGAGAAGATAGCAGAATAGATTATTCTAATTCTTTTTTTTTTTTTTTTTTTTTGACGGAGTCTCACTCTGTCACCCAGGCTGGAGTGCAGTGGCTTGATCTCGGCTCGCTGCAACCTCTGCCCGCCTCCCGGGTTCAAGTGGTTCTCTCGTCTCAGCCTCCCAAGCAGCTGGGATTACAGGTGCCTGCCACCACATCCAGCTAATTTTTGTAGTTTTAGTAGAGACAGGGTTTCACCTTGTTGGCCACACTGGTCTTGAACTCCTGACTTCGTTATCCGCCCACCTCAGCCTCCCAAAGTGCTGGGATTACAGGCATGAGTCACTGCGCCCAGCTGATTATTCTAACTCTTGATCCAGTGTCTTGGGCAACTTCGTATTCCCTCCTAGACATCAGTCAGCATCTGCTCCTCCTACTTCCCATTTCCTGCTCCTCCCAGCCTCACATAGATTCACACGTGCAGCACCTGCTCATGGCCTGGTGCCAATACTGTTTCACTAATATTGCCTAATTGGTGGACCTTTTTTTTTTTTTTTTTGATCTTTAAAGAATTACTTGAATTTTCTAACTTTCCAAGCTTTCTTGTTTCATTCCATGTTCTCTCAATATGCATAAACAATACACAGCAGTTAGAATAGAAGAAAGCTCATTTAGGTAATTTTTCTTTAGTTTTGATGAAATATAAAAATACACCTGAGTCAGGCCAGGTGTGTTGGCTCACGCCTGTAACCCTAGCACTTTGGGAGGATGAGGCAGGTGGATCACCTAAGATCAGGAGTTCGAGACCAGCCTGGCCAACATGGCAAAACCCCATCTCTACAAAAAAACATAAAAATTAGCCAGGCATGTCCCAGTACTCGGGAGACTGAGGCAGGAGAATCACTTGAACCCAGGAAGTGGAAGGTTGCAGTGAGCCGAGATCATGCCATTGAACTCCAGCCTGGGTGACAGAGCCAGACTCGCTCTCAAAAAATACACATATATATGGGTCAGCCGTTCCCTCTTTGTTTATTTTATTTTATTTTTTTTCAGACAGTCTTGCTCTATCACCCAGGCTGGAGTACAGTGCTGCAATCTCTGCTCACTACAACCTCCACCTCCCAGGTTCAAACAATTCTTGTGCCTCAGCCTCCTGAGTAGCTGGGACTACAGATGTGTACCACCACACCTGGCTAATTTTTGTTTTTTTAAATAGAGATGGGGTTTTACCGTGTTGGCCAGGCTGGTCTCAAACTCATGTCCTCAAGCCATCTACCCACCTAGGCCTTCCAAAGTGCTGGGATTACAGACGTGAGCCACTGCACCCGGCCTGTTTTGTTGATTTGTTTTTTGATTTCAATGTTTAAAATTTAGTTTCTGGTAAAAGATGATAACATTTGAGTTCTAATTTGCTATCAACTCTGCCACCAGAAAAAATGTAATAGGAATGAAATTATTCTCAGCAAAATACTTTAATCTCTTAGAATTAAAAGCTTAAAAGTATTAAATGCATTTTAGGTCTTTATTAGTTCTCCGGAACTAAAATTGTATTTCAGCAAAAATAATGAATTAAAATTTTGCTCATTAATTACCAAATATTTATTTCAGAACCATAATATGAAACGCACAGAAACAGAAGCACACAAACAACTCCGAAAAAAATTACTTGGTATCTCTTAGAGAAGAAAAATGTCTTCTTCGGGGCAAGAAGTGTGTTATTCTGTGTCACTTTCAGAAAGAGGTCACGCGTTTTCTCATTGATCTTACTTCCTATTTGGTAGCAAAATAATGTGAGATGAGGCAGTGAACATTCCTGGCGACAAGCCCAGATGTGTGAAAAAATATGTGTCAGGACATTTTCTGAATTCCATCTTTTTCCCAGAGATATCCTTGCAGATGAATGGTCTTTGCCCTACATCAGGGACACAATCACATGGCTATACTTTAGGAGGAAGTCTTCTGGCAGCCCATTACTTATAAACACAAGCCAGCTGGATTCCAGGCGTGCACTCGAAATTCCCTGGCAGTCCTATTACACGGCTACGTGGCTTCAGCCAGTGGGTTCCCAAGGAATTTGCTACCAAAGCATAAGCAGGCTACAAGTGGAGCCATGCTCCTGTTTGCCCTTGTTTTTACAAAGAGATAAGGAAAAGGGTCACTTTCTTTCTGTGAAGGTGGGTGGAGTGGAAAAGAGATTTGGGAGAAGCACAGTGTCATTAAATCGACCTGAAATGCTTTTGAACATCTCTGTTCCTCAGGCAACATCAGGAACACTGAGAAGCTGAGCTATGACAAACAACACCAGTATGAGATCCTGGTGACCGCCTACGACTGTGGACAGAAGCCCGCTGCTCAGGACACCCTGGTGCAGGTGGATGTGAAGCCGGTTTGCAAGCCTGGCTGGCAAGGTGGGCCTGTTTTATCAGTCTTGTGTGAAGGCAGCATGGTCTGGTGTATAGAAAGTGCTGTACTTGTTCTCAGATCATCACAACACACAACTTTTTTAAGTATAGTCACTTTGCTGTGAGAAATAAAGTAGCTTGCTTATTCTCACAACTCTTAGGTAATATATTATCCCCATTTTTCAGTTGAGAATGTCAGACACATCTCCTCTAACCTCATGCGTCCTGTTTGTCCAGTGCTCCCTTTCTCAAATCTCATGACATCTTTGATCAATAGAAATTATCTCACAGCATGTAGGAGAAATTGCCAGCAAGCCTATTCACTTTACCCTAGGGTGCTGAGTCTACCTAATGCATTTCAAGTTTTGCATCACGGATCAACACCTAGGGAAAGTCATCGTGTTCTTTGTGCTCACACAGAGTGCACACAGGCAGAGGTGGGAGACCCAGAATCCAGCCTCTGGATTAGGGAGTATATAAAATGTTGACTCTGGGAATGAAGAAGCAATGGCTTTTGATGGAGGTGGATTTTTTTGTCAGTTTAGCTCTTTTAAAATGCAAGGAAAACTAAATGCTTAGGTCGCCCTTAGATAATAGAGTTTATCACTGAACTGAGGGCAAGTAAGGAAGGTGAGGACAGCTGCATAGATGGACCTTACAGAGATTTGAGTGATTTGTGGAATAATAATAGCTTTAGTGGTAATGCTAATAGATCTGGTGGCTGAGCAGGGATTCTAGAATTATCTCTGCACCATTATTTTGGTGGCCTGATGACTCCCTGTCTCTACTTCATGTGTTGAAGATGCTGCAGGCTATTGCTTACTCATAACTCATAAAGTGCTTCATTTCTGAGTACTGCCTTCTTTTGGTGTGTCTTTAAGCTTCTGCCTCCCCCTTATATTCTCATATTTTCTCTCTGTCTCTCTGCCTCTCTCTCTCTCTCTCTGTCTGTCTCTCTCTGCTATCTTTAATTCTTAAATTCCCTAGAAAGAGTTGATGTTAGTCACTCACATCCATGTAGGGAAGACTGATGCCAGACCACCCTATAAATCTCTCGTCAGTCCTTGAATGACTGCCTTTTATTCAGTTATTCATTCCTAATCCAATTCATCAGGGTCAGATTGGCAGGACATCATGGTACAAAGTAAGGACACCTGTGTCTGAGAAGCTGCCTGACATCATTCCCCTCAGAAGGCAGTTCTCAAAGCGCTCCTCCCTTGAACAACTTGATCTCCCTTAAACTTAAAACTGAAAAGATCGGAAGGGGTAATTTAACCCACCTCTGGAGAGAGCCAGAGTTGTTTGCCTTTGGACAAAGTAGAAAAGATGAAATGCTCAGTAGAGGAACCACAGGTAAGGCACATGAGAGATAAAGAACAAAGCAGAGTCATCTTTATGTCAGTCTGCTAGGATCAAGGAAGAGACATAGAAAGAAGGACAAGCCAGAGTGGGAAACTTTGTTTTCCCAACCTCGGGGAGCCTGAGCTCTGATTGGTATAATTCACTAGACCCAAGGACCCTGCAGACAGAATTCTGTCTTGTTCACCACTGAATTTCTCAAGCTTGGTGTGGTGTCTAGTGCCAGTGGTGGGTGCTCAAGAAAATAGTCATTGAATGAATGAATGGATGGACGAATGAAAGAAAAGGTATCTGAGTTAAGAAGAACTCGCCTTGTTTTGTTTTTAACTCATGGGGATTAGCTCCAGTGAAGGTGTGGCCTTTGAAGAGAAAACCTGGAAAAAATATATAAACTCTCTATGCATGAAATATGTTCACAATGAGAATTTAAGTGGGAAAAGCAAAACACACAGCTCTATCAGGAGACTAGTCCCAATGTTTCTTTGACTCTGACAAATGAGGCACCTACAGATTTGTGATTACATTTTCATTCCTATATTTAAATGTAATTTCCTAACAGAATTTGTACTTATTAAATGTATGCAAGGAAAAACCTGGTCACAATGTTTAACTCTACATGCGAAGAATGTATTGAGCACCACCCTGTAGTGCACACTGCTGTTTGCAGTCCGGACAAACCTTGTTGGGCAAGGCTGGTGCCCATTTGCTGTTGTGTCTCCAGTGCCCAGCACAGAGTCAGACATGATGCAGGCACTTAGCAAGTGTTTAACGATGGAGGAATGGTCAGCAAAACTTTGGTTTAAAAAATGTACCTTTCTGTGGAATAAAGAAAGCAGGGAAGAGGCAATTCCCTGCATCCATTGATAGGCAAAATGATTTAAACACATGTAACATCAGAATCAGCTACTTCATGGTGGCTTCCCTGCCTTAGCTGTGTGGGCTATGATGAGGTTTCTCTTCAAATAGCCTGATCAATACTTTATTCTTTAATTCATAGTACTCCCCCACCCCTTTTTCCTTTTTCTCTTTTTTTCCTTTCTGCCTTTGCTACATGCCCAGACACGCCATAGTACCAGGCTTATCAGTACCAGCTCACATTCCTTTCCTTATTTGGAAAGAAGGCTAGCTCTCTAGCTCATTGCAGACACCCCTTCCCCTTTTCCCCTCTCTCCCTTATGTGCCCACCCTATCTAAAGAAAGTTCAAATGTTTACCCATCCAGGATTAGTTCAAATTGTGCGACCCGACCCCAGCCAATGGGGAGAGGGTACGGGGGCAGGACATGCGTCAGGAATAAAGGCTTTCCTGCCCCTTTGCTCAGGTGTGGTCTCATGGTGACTGGCCAAGGAGAAGCACCCCTCTGCACAGAAGTAAAATTGCTTTGCTAAGGATCCTTTGTTTGAGTGTTCAATTTCCTTAGGATTTGGAGCGTTATTCCCAACAGCTGTGGTGGCAGAAGCTGACAATGAATTCTTCATCCTTAATCTTCTCCCTCCAGCTTACCCCTTGCAATTCCTTCCTGCCTAAAGGGAAATGACTTAGAACAGGTACAAGAATTCAAACTGCCAAACTGTGTTTGGCATCCAGAGCCAGAATCTGGGATGTCCTCTCTCTCAGTCACTGCTCCAGTAGGCTTCTAGATCATAGACAGGCCCTCCAGGCTCTCTGATATGTAGAGCAGGCCATAGGACCTTTCTACCATTCCTGTCCCAGCTCCTAGACCTAGAGAGGAACCTCCTCTCCCTCTCCCAGCCTATGAATTCACTTCATTCCTCCACTTGGACAACGCTGAACTCTTCTTACTCGCTCATATTGGGGCCTATTCTGTCTTATATCCAGGGTTGCAGCCTCTTAACTGGAAGTTCACCTTTCTCCAGGGAAGAACTGACCACAACTGGTCTGAGTTGCGTGTCTCTTGTCCTGCCCCTTCTCCCAGCTGTGCAGAGCAAACTGGAATGAACCATGTTTTACTGGCTTGCTTGCTACTTGCAGATGATGCAGACTGCCCCTTACTGTGAGTGGGCATCAAATGGCTTGGGGGAAAGGTTTGGCTTTTCATGGAGCCAGTATGGGGTGAATCCTGCACTTTGTAAATGGATTAGGTTTTAACATGATTTGGAAATGACACAAACATTTAGTTATAGCACTGACTGTCTGTCTTAAAGGAGTAAGAAGGAGATGACTTACAAAAGCTATCTTTGAAGTCTTTAAGGGCAGGGTCTTAGTAGAGTAGTTAGGATGGGAAGGAGAGGTTGTGAGTGTTGTCCTCATAGTAAGGACCTATGGTTACCTGATGTTATATGGGACCCAGCAAGAAAGAATAAGTAAGGAGTCATCGTGGAACTAGATAGCCTGTTTGAGTTCTAAGAGTAGTGTTTTTATTTTTACTATTTATTGTCTTATATGGTATTTTCCACAGTTAGTGGATGAGCTATTGTCTACAAAGCATCATTGAAAGAGGGAACAGGCCCGGGCGCCGTGGCTCACACCTTTAATCCTAGCACTTTGGGAGGCTGAGGCAGGTGGATCACTTGAGGCCAGGAGTTTGAAACCAGCCTGGCCAACATGGTGCATCCCTGTCTCTACTAAAAATACAAAATATTAGTCAAGCATAGTGTTGCATGCCTGCAATCCAAGCTACTTGGGAGGCTGAGGCAGGATAATCACTTGAACCTGGGAAGTGGAGGTTGCAATGAGACCGTGTTGTGCCGCTGCACTCCTGCCTGGGCGACACAGTGAGACTCTGTCTCAAAAAAATAAAATAAAATAAAAAAATAAATATATATATATATGTGTGTGTGTATATATATATATATATATAGAGAGAGAGAGAGAGAGAGAGACAGAGAGAGGGAACAGGTTTGAGAAATAGTAGATAGACTCAGCAGACCCTGGTAGACAAACTGGATAAGGAAGAGAAGGATAGGTCTGCCTCTCCCATTGGGCACATGGGCCCCCAGATGGATTATGGTGCCAGTCACTGAGGTGGCGACATGGAAGGAGGAGGAGTTATCTGCAGCAGCTAAAGAGTCCATTTTAAAGAAAAGATCAATGCGAGGTGCCAGAGATGTCTAGTGGGCAGTGGGATTTTCACATCTGATGCTTAGGAGAAAGGTATGTGCTAGAGATGGAGATTTGAGTCTCCTGGATATATGTGCTTGATAGTGGAGGGCTTGGGCATGGATCTCATTACACATAGAGTAAGAAGAGGGCTACAGATACTCCCAGATATAAAGAATCCTCTAAACAGGCTGCTAGATAGCCTTGTGGGGATCCCAGGTTGCACATGTCTCAAGTTGAGTGTTTCTAAACTTTCTCTAATTTCTTTTATACTTTTTACTTCCATAGGTTTTTGGGGAATGGGTGGTATTTGGTTACATGAGTAAGTTCTTTAGTGGTGGTTTGTGAGGTTTTGGTGTACCCATCACCCAAGCACTATATATTGGACCCAGTTTGGTCTTCTTAGTGTTTCCCTCTTGTCAACTGAGTGAAATTACCCAAGCCTGGGCCTGTGCGTGCTATGATGACTTGGAGAAGATACCTGCATCCCTTTATGGACCAGAGCACTGCAGAGGATGTAGTACCTTTGGAGGTTGTCAAGGTGAGGGTGGCAGTAACAGCAGTGGGCCCAGCCAGAGACTGAGCTTA